GCGGCGATGGTGATGGTTGTGGTAGCGGTGCCGGTGGTTGTTCCTGTTGACTGTCGCTGGAATCTGTTATCTGATTTTGGTTTTGTGAATCTGATCCCGTGGCGTCGTCGGTGTAGCGGTCGAAAAACCTGTCACCTGAAATGGAGAGTTAGAGGTTAGTTTCAGCATCACACGTATGGCAGGACATCGTGTATTGCTTTTTTAGTTGGGAGTGTTTTCAATAACTGCTCTCAACGTCATGCTAAATGGTAGGTAGTCAGAAGCAATTGAGACCAGTTGAAATGGCACATTTACAGCAGAGCTTACTGTTGTTCCTGTTCATGGTGTCCTCGCAGTCAAATGATTGTGACGGTGGTGGCGGGTTCGATCTCGTGGGCGTCGTTTCTCAAGGGCCATTGGTTGACGACCTCCTCGTCGAACCAGAACTCAGTAAGTTCGATGCGTGCGTGTGTGTGCATGCGTGCGTGCGTGAGTGGGCACTCACGGTATTGGCCGCAGCGCCTGACGAATCCGCGAGGTCAGGCGTGGTGGGCCGTTGAAGTGGGGAGGCTCGGTGGGCAGCCTCGGTATCACCAACACCAACTTCTACACCCGCGGTGTTAACTAAACGAGACAATGTCCTAATTAACGTGTTCTAAGCACTAAATTACTAGGTGTGCATGTGTGTGTGTGTGTGTACGCTGGCACCCGTACGGCGCAGCATATTGGTTACTGTATTTGAGACGACAATAACACGGAACCTCCTGATTGAGTATTGATTGCGATTGGATTTAAGGCCTCACATGTGTTCGTAAGCTCGTGGAACGCGTTTTCGCTGTTTGTTTGGGAAGTGACGTGAACACCTTTGAAAGATGAGACTTCCACTTGTGGTTATTAAATGCTAAAATGTCATTTCATGCAGCTGTTGGCTGATTGGCGCGTGTTGTTCTCCGTACGTGGAATCATGCATTTAGATGGAAGGTGGCAAGCAGCTGTGTGTCCGTATCAGATTTTATTCTTTGTATTCTGGAAGTCAGTTTTTCAGTAAAAATCTGCCATTTCCGCAAGAAGTCGTAAACTGATTGTCTGGACACCTCGGGCGTTTTATAGCATTTCTGAACGAGAATCCACGAGGTCGTATCGCAATGCATTCACATTCCGTTAGTTTGGTTGCTGTTTCTACTTTGTTTCTAGCATAGGGGTAGTCAACCACCAGCTCCCAAATGATGCAAGTATTGCAGGCAGACGCATCTTGGACAGACAAGTTGGTAGCTTCGTGAACGTCGCCTTCACCCATCTCGATGTGGCTGGTGTTTTGTGTGATGGATTGAGCCACAGAGGTTGCTCACTTTGCGACAATTCGTGCACATTTCAATGACAGTGACTGTTAGGACTGCAATGCTATTAATTCCGTCGATATTGGCAAACCCAGGTTTTCGAAGATTGATTCGTGTCGTAATGCCTCTATCTCAGATCGCGCCTGCTTGTGTGTTTCAGTGACAGCCTTGGCAGCTTTAGGGGGGGGGAAGCACGTTTGCACGGACGTGACTGCTAGAGAACGAGGAAAAGTCACGTTTCTTGAAATCTCGCCAAATCGCTTTGATCGGAACGTGCTTGGAAGCACGTCTGATCGCGTCGAAACGTGGAGTCAAGCCATGTTGTTCGCGGCGGATTAAGAGGTCTAGCGAGTACACGAGGCCACGGGGGTTTGGATTTAGATTTGGACGTTTCTGCTCGGAAGTCACACCGCCTAGTTCATCGGTGCTGGTCGTAATACAGCAAGTCGCACTAACCATGTAGATTAAAAAATTTGTCGATTAGATTTCCTGATACATATTACGCAAGAAGCCATTATTCTGTATCTATTTTGTAGGAGTAGTATATTTGTAGTGCGGTTATAATTTTTTGGTGATTAGAAACAAGTCCTCGTTTTGGTATCGCTTTTTCTCGAAAGAAACTGCTCACAAGAATAACCCAACGATCGTCCTAGACGTGTTTTTCGTCTTCTTGCTTGAAGCTGAAGTAGTCCATAGTATCGTCACCTGCGGTATTTGCCGTCGATGAAAGTGCTGTATAGAACTGGGGTTGTGGTGGTTCTATGGTGAGTCAAAGTTGGCTCGTTAGCCCAAAGCTTTAATTGTGCTTGAGTGATTTCAGCACATTGAGGTTGTGCAATTGGCCTAACCTTTGTTGCGCCACCTCTGCCATGCTTGGAAGTGTAGGTGAAAGTTGTTTGCCGACAGAACAGTTTGGTGTCGGAAGTTTGAAGAATCATGCTTGTTGTTTTTAATTATATCCACCAAACACTCAATTTAGTGAGGCCATCTCAAACGCGGCATTGAATCTGAAGATACTCCCCTTTTTGTCGTAAATGTACTATGTAGACTAGTCTGCCTAAACCTCCGATTTGGTAAATCGTATTTCTTGGCTGAAATTTGACAGTCAGCTGAGTCCCATTCTGTTCACATCTAATTTCACTTGCAAAAAACCACTGCTGCATTTCACGCCTAGCTGCTAATTCATAAGTGGTTTGCCTGAAATCACCTTGCACTTCAAGGCACACAAGACTCTAGTGGAATGCAGTACGCCTTCCACACCCTCGATCGATGTTTGCCCAACGTGGTCACCGCTAGGCTGATTAAACCAGCTTCCATAATTCCCAAAATCCGGTTCTGCTGTGGGCTTCACAGAGGTGGTGGCAGCTGTGAGCTGGTAAGACGCCGGTGCCCTCGTTGAAGTGCGTCACTCGAACAGGGTGGAAAGGGAAAGGGGTAATGGGTATTTTCAATCATCATTCACTGGAGAACGCATTCACGGAACGATGGTTACCCCGCTGAACCCGACACTCGCCTGATCGACTTTTGTTGGTTGTGCTGCAGCATGTTCAATTTTGGTTTTTCAGGTTCATTCGGACCCAGTCGTCGAGTGCGTTTCGGTTGAGACTTGGCATGGCGCCGGTGGAGGTCCACGCTTCTTGTCTACAACCGCTTCAACACAAAGGTTAATTATCTAAATTCGTCAGCCCAGCCGTAGATTCAGCGTGGCGAAGTGGACGTTCTAGACGCAACACCGCCTTGGTCACTCCTGATAGTTGTCAATACCATCGCATTGGCTCATTCACGAGACGTGAGTGTGTGTGTGTGCTTGGTTGACCGCCGTCCACCCTCTCCTTCACTCAAACTCGTCACCTTTAATTATCTTTTATCGTTAGATAAACCCGAAGCTGGGCAACGACCTATTTCGTTTGAGTTGTGTTCCCACTTGAACGCTGATTTCCAATGCTCTTTCGCTATGTTTTCAATGTACACAGTGGTATTTGACATTGTACTGCCCATCCCTAAGTGGGTCGCATTAGACTATTTTTACATTTGTAGAAAGCGACTGTCAACGCGGTACCAGTATCTTGAACCTTTGAGTAAATTTTAGGGCTAGACACACTACCTGACCACAAATCTTCCTATTGCAGTTAAAACAAAATTGCTTAGGCTAATTCGGAGAAAAAGTACATTTTGGAATTTGGTTGCTTAATAGGTAGGTTGTTATTTGTCAAACTCCCGTTAACTCGCCCATTCTGGAGTAGGGTTAGTGGGAACGACAATTCTACTCAACACATTCGAGAATTTTTAAGTCACCACTTCTCTCCTTCACGTGTCACCCCGTTTTGTTTGGCGCTTGTTAACGCAACCTCAAGAATCAACTTGTAATTTGGTTAGTTTTTTTTTTAAATTAAAGATATTATCCATTTTCGTGTCATTGTTGTGCATTATTTTCCTGTCGTAGCGTGTATTCACTGATTGCGAATGGTATTTACCGCGGTGGATAAATTGCCAAATTCAGTTATACTAAGTTTTTGTACGCAATTACATTCGTCACACTCTCTTTGAGTTCTAAGTCATCTGTGTTGAAAATGCAGTGTTTGATTTTACCTGATAGTAGCGGAGTGCCAAATCTGACTGACGTGAAATTGCCAACGTAAATTTGCGTGTTTGTGAAGTGTTTGAATGTCTAGGGTTGTCTGCGCTGTGTCACTGCCAAGTTTGGAACGAAAAATGGCCAAAGGGGTGGATTCAGCTCGCGAAACCTTGCAGATGTGTGATATTTATCTCAAAATACCCTGTTTACTACTGTGCTTGTTGTCATTGCGTGAATTGATTTCATTTATCAAAAAAGCAATTACATCGGGACTTGAGAAATTTCAGCACAACACACCGTCAGACCAAAGTTCACCAACGAAGATTTCCTGCCGATGACGTGTTTATTTATCTTATTACGTTGTCATATTTCAAGTCCGTTTTTCCTTCTGTAGCCTCATCCTTATTTGACTACTGATATCTTTCTGATTCTAGGCCCCAGTTTCGACTTCACTGTCTACTATTGGTGTCACGCATATCATCGGCCAAGGATAAGAGGAATTGTATCGTTTTTACGGATGTGCTGCCTTATTCTACCTTGCAGAAAGAGGACCTCATTTATTTCCTTTTCCAAGATAGCATACATTGTTTTTTTGCTAAAGATGATGCCTTAGTGAAACATCAACAAACAACTGAGTTTCTTATATTTTTAATGAAAAGAACTTATAATATTCGTCCTTTTAAAAGTGTGTAAAAGTATTTCATATATTCGATTTTGGCCAATTAGAAATAAGTTTGTTTCTTAGAACTTAGGATGTCCGCGTGCGTGTGGTTTTCTGTCAGTCGACATGTAGGTACAGAATTATTTGGTGGACCGAAATTGCAAAATGCTTGAAATGCTTTTCTAGGGCTTATTTACAGTCACTTTCGGAATAGTTAAATTTCATTTTGCAAGTAAAACTGCAATTGAACATGACAGAAGCTAATGTGGTTCGAGTTGTACCAAGTGGCTTCCCGTTTAGTTGAATACTTTTTAGTACTCAAACGGTCCGAAATAGGCAAATTCCAGGACTACTGTGTCATAGAGAAGTCTATACTCCGGTTTTATTTTGGTTAACTAACTGTGCTCATTGAATAATGTAATAAATTAAAAATGCCGCATTTTGTAATACAAAATAATCATTTTCGTTAAAATATTATTCCTTTTAAAACAAAAATGCTTTTATCGCATAACAATAGGTTAAATCCTTAGTGCTTAGTAAAATTATTATAGTTGAAAATCTGAATTTAATCGAGTCTATGACACATCCAATTTTGTTTTAGCGAAGTAGGTTCTACAGTGCGAATATAAAACATCGTTTTAGTTTATATCTGTTTAATTAAAATCTTAGTAGCTTATTCTAAAAATATTTTTGTTCCTGTCATGCTTTGTATTTGATGTCTACATAAAGGGCAGAAAGTGTTTAAATGTACTAGCAGCCTAACTATTCCAGTCATATGAATGAGCGCGGGTTTTGAAAGGGCGTGTTCGCTTCGCTTCATTTGCTTGTAAGACGATTTTAAGGTAACTTTGGTTTGTGTTTACCTATGCAATTTGCTTGTAGTATTTAAATGCAGAAAGTTTCCTCACACTCAGCGATGCAATTCAATACTCGTTCAGGTACCTTTGTCTATTTCACGTTCCTAATTATGTAGTTTTACGACCTGAATATCTTAATTTTGCTAATCCGGATTATACTTCGTATGGAAATTTTTATCAGTACAAGCATTATGACAGAAGAATAAATACTAACACTGCTCCAGTTTACTCAACCGAGGATTTTTGCTCCCAGAAACAGCGGAGGCTCGCTCGTCGTGTTCCAAGTAAGCCGCTGCTTTTGCTATAATATAGCCCATAGGTCATCCTTATTTCCGCTCGTCGACAAATGAATCAACAAGCAACTTGGCATCAGATAATTACAATTTTTCGCAGAGCCAAAACCTCTCACCCTATCATGCAGGTGTTTCTTCTTCGCAATGTCAAATCAGTCCTAATTTGTCCGATTCTCGATGGAGTCAGGATTCGCTGAGACAGAATAAGACGAGTTCCCGCCGAATGTCAACCTACGGCCATAATTCACGCCATCGTGGTTCTGCGATCTGTGCTGAAAACACATCACCAAACACTTCAAGTAACAACTCGCATCCTCGGCCGTATAGTCATGGGCAAGCTGAACAGTTACGCCGATCAAGGGAGTCGACTACCTTCGCTCTAATTGACAATCAATTATCGAAGCCGCCGTTAAATCAAGTTAGGGATTTGTACCTGCAAAATCGTGGCAGTGTGAATTCTTCGAATTCTGGGCCCACGAGGACAACAAAGAAAGCTAACCTTTCTGCGGTTCATACTATTGTACGCTTTCGCATTAAGGAGTATCTTTATCCACTTCTTGCACATTATCGTCGAATGCTTGATACTCTTTTTGCCAGAATCTACCCTAACTACACACCCAGCATGCGTGATTCATTGGCTTCCCAAATCCTTGGACAATCTCAACTCCCTTGTTCCCTCTCTTGCGAATTTTGTGAGCGCTTCAAATTTCAATTAGATCGTCACGTATCCTGCCGGAAGATGATGCTTAACAAAGCTGCCTTGCCGTCTAAGCTATCATCAGCAAAGCCCTCAGCAGGTTACTACAACTCGCTTAACGGTGACTGTTATGATGGTAGTGCTAATTCTTGTCCTATTAGCCCCAACGAATCAGTCAGTCGCAGCCGCCGTTACACTCTACCGCCACCAATTCAGCCGAGCACCGCTTCAACTCCCTTGACCTCTGCTACCGCCGCCACTTCAGCAAAGTCCTGTTTTGTCAAGCCAGAATGTTCCATTGACGCCAGTTCCTTGTCCTCTCCGTCTTCCCCTAGATTAAACTCGGAAGCCTTAGACCACAATTCCGAATCTGAACTATTAGACGACTTGCAAAGTGTCGTCGATGATGGAACACCCCTTGCTTTCCATTCATCGCAACGCATGTTAAACGACAGCTCAGATGTCAAGCGTACTCGCGTGGACAGTGCTACTTTGCGTTGGCATGACTTGTTCGATATTCCCTTTAACGTGGACTTCAACTCCATGGACGATGACAACTCCTTGGATCTGCACAGTATCTTAAATGCCAACTCAGATCTTAAAATTGAGTCTTTCCCTGATGACACGTCGACATTTCCCGCATGTGATGACGTTGAAGGTCTGTCCAAGTTCTCTTTATTGGAAAACCTCGCACGGATTGACGAAGGTGATTCAAGCATCAGTTTGAAACCAGAACACCTATCTCCTCCTCAAACTCCACCTCGTTCATTTCCTTGCGGCGGTAACTCGAGTAGCAGCAGTTGTGTAAGCCAAAATCAGTTTTAGATTGTCTATCGACTATGGTTCCTGTCCACTGTACATAATCTTCCATCCGACCCTCGGTTACTTTCCCATTTGCAAATAACCATCGCATTGCGCCTGCTTTCTTTACTCGGGCGCTGTATTTGTATGCTTTCTTGTAGCCTTATCCCTCACCCCAGCCTTTTGATTCCCTCAACACGCGCTTTGCCCATTGTACATCAAATCTGCCTTCGTGCATATATGGATCAAATAGTCCCCCCCTCCCCGCTACAAGTATTTGTGCACTTCTTTGCTCTGACGCCTCCAACCAGAAGTTGTCGCAACAACCCTAATTCCACTTTCCACCCACTTCTCGATCGCCCGTGTTTCTTTCCTCTATCCTTTGTATACCTGTGCCAAGTGCATACAGTCACATTACATCTCTCCTGACCAAATCGCTCGTGTCTTTCCTGCTCGGTTTTGTCTTCCTCGGCTAGCTTGTTGTGTAGAAATGTTTCAGCGCGCAGGCGCTTTCGCTGAAGTGCCGCAGCACTTACTTCCATTGCGTTATGAAGAATTTTTATCATCGATAAGCGTTTCTTTCCTTTGCCCTTTGTATACCTGTGCCAAGTGCACACATTCACATTACACCTCTCCTGACCAAACCGCTCGTGTGTATTCCTGATGGGGTTTGTCTTCCTCGGGTAGTGCGTTTTGTAGAACTGTTTCAGGGGCAGGCATTCTAAGTGAAATGCTGCAGCGTTATTAGGACTTTATCATAGATAAGTGGGTTTTTTTTACTTGGCAAGCGTCCATGCACTTGTCGTGCCTATTTCTGTGTGCCAGACCCGCGCGTGTGGTTGTTTGCCAGCGCTAGTTTGCACGCGTCTGTCTAATAGGTGGTCTTGCCCAGTTATGCATAGAGGGATTTACACCCGGGTTTATATCGCGGAAGGTTCGCTCGATGCCTCTTACAGACGGTCGACTGTCGGTGTTTAAGATTCGGCGTCGGAAATGGGTTGGTGGTTTGGGTCTTGTGTCTACTGGAACGCTCTCTAAATGCCCAACAAGGTTTTTGCTAAATATGGGTGTCACTCAGCTGTGGGAAGCATTTGCTAACTTTTTAACCGCTAGGTCTATCAAGTTCGCGGATTTCCAGTCTAACTTAACGAAGGACGAATGGGTGCGTTTTCAGAAAGTGTTCACACCCGAAAACCGATTATTTTGAGACGAGCTTGAGCTATAAATCTCGGTTAAGCGTGATTTATCTTGGCTTTCTGAATTGAACAGTACCCATAAACACTGACACACCACGTGGTGATGCAGTCCAAGAATGTCGTTCTTGCCGGAAACAGCACGTTTGGCTCTAAATTACATCGAAAACTGATTTTGCTTTTGAAACACTCTTGGTAGAGCCATCGGACTGCGCTCTTGCTACTTTACAAGTGCTCAGATGGACAGCAGTCTAGTTACTTTGGTGAATTCCTCGGTGCTTCTAGGGGCATCAGCATTGCGGTACCTGTGGATGCCTTCATGTGCAAATAAGATGTCGCCTTTTACTTTTAAGGCCAAAATTAGACCGAATAACACCCGTGTAAAAGTTACCCATCACGTCATTGCTTGTCCTCAATCCTCTCCCATTACCCTGTTTTACTGAGCGCCTTCTTCCACGGGGCACTTGCTCCTTCACTTGGAAAACGCATTGTTGCCGATCTCTTTAAAATCTGAAAGATAGCGACAACTACCTCAACGCAATAAAGTGCATCATAGTCCCCAGTCAAGTGGTTCGCGTGTGTCACCGCGTTAATTGAATATGACATACGACTAAATGCCTCTTAAGCAGTGTGATTACTTTCACTTACACAGAGCCCTTTGCTGTAATTTGGAACGCATGAGCATCAGGCACTGGTTTTTTTTCCAGTCATTGAGGAAACTTCATTCAAAAATAGGTCTTAGCTACACTCCAAATTCTATTTTCTAGGTGTGCAATATGCAATTTCACGGTAATTACAGCCCAAAAATTTCCACTAAGTCATTAACTGACTGAAACCGTCTTTGGCCTTGAATTTTGTTGATGCAATCTCCAATCGGAATTTTTAATGTATTCTCGACAGGCTAAAGCCTACCAGGCAACTCGTGTCTTGGATTTCATGTAATAAAAGGGCGTTTAATTTTAGGTGCAAAAGCAAGGTGGTGGGATGCCACAGAGGAATATTTTTGTTTTTGATAAAGCAGTGGAGGCAGCAAATCGTCGCCTTGAGTGTTTAGAGCTCTCCTTACTTCCACGACTGAGTTTGCGTCTCGTATAACGAGTATTCATTCACGAAGGCTACCACTGCTAGTCATCTCACCACGTCTCCCAGAGCTGATAATTGTCTCGATTTCGCATCTGAATAGTTGAGCCAGGTAGCGGTGCCAGCTAAAGTGAATTTTTTGATTCCCAATTAAGAATATGATTTGTATGCACAGTCGGCGCATTGCGTGCAGAGTATAATTTAAAGTACACTTCGCGTTAGTCTCTTCTGATTAAAAGGTATCCCTAGGAATGAGACTATGTGCTCAGTTGTCGAAAGCAGTCAACTACGTTTGCGGATAAATCTGTTGACGCATTGATTAGACGTCTCGGAAGAAGTTGAGCGATTTCGAGTGAAGTATGACGAGTTTTGGGTAGAGGTCATCATCCGAGCATTGTTCAACTGACACAGAACCGCCTTTATCAGTGTCTGTTACTTTACTACACTCGATTCGCCGGTGACAATACACAGAAAAAGACGAAATAAACTGTTGTGGAAGTCTCACCTGCCGTCTCGACAACTTAGACGCTCCCGACAACACCACAAACCCCTGGATGCTGTGACGTCTGAACCCCACTGCCAAGTCGAGACTGTCGTTTTCTGGCAATAACACTCCCCCATTAGTAATTTTGGTTATCCAATCGAATGCCTTTAGCCAGATTACCAAGCGCCAATAGCGGTAGTTGTGCCACGCAATTACGGAGACTTTTTGCATTAGATCTGCGACACAGACAAGATGTCCCGAGTTGTTTTGGACGGTTCACTAGGGCAAAATGATGTTTGTGGGTAAAGCTGACTTAGTTTTTGTGTGGCCGCAGCCAATTCAGCATGCACGAGGTTGTCAAACTTTTGTAGTGGGTTCTATCCTCCTTATGACCTCGTTTGACCTCCTGTAACCCTTGTCTATGTAACTCATTTAAACTCACTCACCTAAACACTTGTTTATAATAAGCATAATTTGGTCACCGCGGGCAAGTCTATGGTCGCCATGACACACAAAAAAAACCAACGAAGAACTACTGGTCGGTTTCTTCATTTGATGGTCTGATGGGTTAGTCTAGTTCATGAACTGTACGAAAACTCGTATTTCCACCTGTGGTTGTCGAATGACACTAATATGTATAAAGGAATTCATCAAAGCACAAAAATGGCGTCACCGATGTTCCCTACTTCGATTTTCTAGTTCGGGATTTGCGAGGATCTTCGATACGACGCCAAAAACCCGACAGACCTGGTCGGGGGGGAATTGATTCGCCTGCAGCTTTGGGGTAAGGAGCGTAGCCCGCTTTGCCAAGACGCTGGGTTAAAATGCGGCCAAAATTTAGCAATTTGTGTGAATTACATTCATCCTCTTTATCAGTCCGTGGGACTCCATCTAATTACCGTGCCGTGTGATGCTCGATGTTTACACGAGCGAGGCGAGCCTTGCGTCTCGAATTTGGAGGAGAAGGAGGAGGAGGAGGAGGAGGATGGGAGAACAGACTAATCGGCTAAGTCTTTTTCTCCAAAGCTCAAACTTATATGATCCTGATAGGAGTTATTCCATGTCAGGTTTAAGAAAGGAGATTAATCTTTAGCATTACAGGGAGGTGTTTTGAGACTTGTTTGATTTTTGCAGCTGCGTTTCCTCGACTTCTTATCTTACATGCCTTTTTACACACGAGCACTTCACTGGACGCCAGAGTACTCCAACATCCTGCATGGGATTCCTGTCAATTTGACAAATATTCAAGTAAAACACTACACCTTGATAGGACCTTTTAATATCCAATACGCAACTCACATTAAAGTACACTTTGTTTTTCTTGCCTTTCTGTTGATTAATGAGGCACCATCATGCGCATTTAACCTCCTTTAACCCATTGAGCCCTTATGCGTAACCCCACGGTACTTTCACAATAAGATTCTACACACACACACGCACGCACGCACGCACACACACACACACGAGATAGTAGACATACGGCAGTTGAACGGGAGTCTATGCATTCTTCAAGTACTTCTTAGTCTCCGTGAGTCGTGCCAATTAAACACCAGGCCTTGTTTGTTGGGGCTAATGGAAACGCATTACTCGGATGACTACCGCTGGCAGTGTTATTGTCTAGTCGCACAAATCAGTACGTTCTAATGAAAATCACTAACAATAGGTGTGCACAGTTTGCCAACCATTCCAACGACACAACAAGGCAGTCGTCAGACGCGTGACCTTGTCGGCCTTGGCCTCGTGCCAACGTCGTGTCTAGAATCAACTCTGCCTCATCAATAGACTAAGTCACATTCCACTATAAATCTGTTGACAACCTTCTAGACCCAAGCAACTGACCATGGGCGGAGCAGCAACAGAAGGCGTTTCCACCAATCGGAGTTAAAAATTATACCTACAATGGGTATTTGGAACGACGGCTCGGAGACCACAATGTAACCGCTGAGTCAAAGCCACTAACACGCAAAATTTTCGACACATTTTTGTTAACCAACGTAGTCAGCATATCGTGCTTAAATGTACTACAGTTATCACTGCAATACACTGTACTGTTTTCTAGACAACCGCATACTGTTGCGCACAAAAATTGCTTGGATGTTACCTAATCTCGGGCCTAAATAAGTTATGAAGTGTACACAGAGGCGTGCCCGAGTAGTTGCCCATTGCACACCTACCACGCAGATGTGGTGCTCGTTGACTGAAGGTCGATCTACGCCGGCTTTTTTAAACTGTTTAACAATCAATAATTGTAGGCTTCGTCACCCTACGTGAGCACCTGCACCAAATCGATAGCACCGCACCCAACGCTATAGGAGGGGCTATCAATGCGTGAAATTGGAATGATTTTAGACACTTTTCCGGTGCGTGTGTAAGCCCCGATCGGATGATAAAGCACACACCGACGATGGTGCCGTGTAGAGCGCTGACTTCAGTATTTACGCCTTGTAGCGAGTCAGATAACTCCGTAAAAGTACAGGTGGCGTCATGTAAGTCTAGTCTAAGCCGATTTCATTTGACACACACACCTTCCTGCCTCGACTGAAGGTGGCGAATTTTGCAAGCTGTATCAATCTAAGTCCCTCACATGCTGCAGTCAATCGGACCACAATAAAGGAGACAATTTAATAAATCTTAAATACCCCAATGTAACACAGGTTGTTGGCAAGGTTGATGGCTGACTTTTCAGCTACAGAACTCGTCATTCCTGTCTGGAGATCTTCGACTGCTGACTCATACCTCCTGGGTTGCCTGAGTTGCAAATGCAACACAGGTTGACTCGGTAATTAAGACACGTTTGGAACCATAACCTACGAACCCATAACCCACCATTACTCTGTTCTGTGACTTAAAGCATTGCTTGTTTGCAAATTTATATTAGTCGAGCATAGCAGTGGTACAACGGCAATCTGTCAAGTCAATTATGAACTAACTCAAGTTGTCGGTTGTAGTGAATGGAAGCCGTCCTTTCCAACTCCCTCGTCCTCTGCGTTTTTTAACACAATTCAAGAGGTTCGCTTGCTGTAGGTCCTTTCAATGCTCGTAGATCAGTGGATAACCCCAAACGCCTTGTGCTTCCTAAGCAGTAAGCCTAGTTCCTACCTCCACTACCATCTCCATCAGTGTATACTTAAAACAAAAAAATGAAAGATTTACTTGTAAAAACCAACCTCCGAAGGCCGATGTGACTGATACTATCAGCTACCAGACTGAACGTCCTAACTCACACAGGTTTTGTTAGCACACCTCCATAAACAAACCACGAACCTATATCTCTTGTAAGCCGAAACATGTGATTCAAATCCCTTTGCGTGACTCGACTGTGTAAACGTAACATTAGCTTATCGGCGTAGTGTTATTTCGATTGTTTAATCCAAAAATAAGCTTAGTGCATTAGAGCCTTATTTCATCTGGAACTGTTTTTCGACAGTCGACACGAAGAAATCAACTGCTTCCATTCAGAAACTTCAGCTACTTAAGTCGTAACTTAAAACGGTCCAAGTCAAAAGGAAGTGTGGACTAATTCAGCTTGCAGAGTGATACCAGCTTTCGTATTGTTCCATGCTGATTGCCTCCTTGGGTTTTCGTACTCATTAGTATCATCCACTACCAGCTCTAGTCTGAGTGTGATGCTTCACTGGGATCGCGAATCTCGCAGCACAGTAGCTGTGTACGATTCCACCAATACCAACATAATACTACCTGTGTTGTTTGTGTAAATCCCATTTCTGCCTCAGCAAAGTAGGCTGTCGATGGAAAGGAAAAGTATTTTCGCCGCTCAGGAAATTGTGCAGTCACATTTTAACTCAAAGTTTTACAATCGATTCACAGAATCGCCAATCACTGAATTTTTGAACGAATCCAACCAGCCATGTCTTCTGGTCAGATAGCATAAACGGACTTTCACTGATATACGTCTGTCGGAAACGGAAAGCAGAATCCGGAATGGTCATGCGCTCACCACCAATACGGTACCGTGTTAACTCTTCATGAACTTTACCACAATTGGAAAGCATGAGTCATGCATGACCTCTTAGTAACAATGCAACAATTGGAACAGATGCACGCATGACTAATGCTAGCGAAGCACACCACCATAATAACCTCACTCGCTGTCCAACAGCTTGGCAGGGAGTCGATTCACACATTTAGAAATGCTTTTCTACTTTGACTATTTGACTCTTCAGTTGTTGTGCTAGCTCAATGGGTCTGCAATTATGTCCACAATCGCGTAGAACGACTTTGTTTTTGACACGAGCACTTTGACACCCCACTGCCTTTAGCCGTTTGCCACTTGGTTTTCGGGACAGCAGTGTTAGGTAAGGTATTTACCGGGGACATGATTGGTCTATCCTCTCTCCGACTGATGGGATTATCCCAATTCCATAGACTCCCAAAGTATGATAAACCAGCAATTTGAGCAGAAATCATAACAATGGGGGAGAGAACAATGTGATCCTGGTGGGGGTCGAGCTTGTTTGTAAATGACCCCAGTCTTGTAGGTTTGGGACAAGGTCAAAGCATTACTTGATCACGTGATGAGTGTGTGTATGAGAGCGGATCAAGTCGTCAAGGTGAGATGGGCCTGAGAGGGAGCCTAAGTTCTGATGTGAAAATTCTTAGAAAAAGGCTGACAACTAGTGTGAGTAGTCGACACAGGGCGACTTCTTACCCCACTAGAAATGCTTAGCGGTTGATTTGAATGTGCGGTTTTTGAGTGTCGGCTACGTGCACTTTTAGGCGTCCTAGCAACGCTTAATTTTACATGTGTACAGTGCCTGGCTATAAATAAACACAACATTTAATGTTGCGTGTTTAATGTTTCCAGATGTTGCTATCGCTTTGTGGTCACGAGGTCTGATTAACCGCATTTGACGTTGTCCGCAAAATTATGCCATACTTTCCAAGTTAACTTGATTTTCTCAAACGTATTTCAGTAACTGCACAAACGCCTTCTCGTATTGTCTGAAAAGCATGCCACAATAGTACAACAACACGCCTTTGTTAATTCATTATTCCGGATTAGTCTTGGCTGGAGTCTGCATGTGGCAAAACGCAAATCCTGCAATGTTTTGCAGAAGGTAAAATTTCCCTTCGAATGGGCCAATCAACGAGCTCTGCGTGTTTTTTGTTCACCCCGAGCGAAGAGATTTGGCATTATTTTGGTGCATAAAACGGTGACGTATGTTAGCGCTGTTTGATGATACTGGTCCCGACATTTCCTATGAAGTTGACGTCGTTTTCATACGCTGTAGTTATGCTGATGCAACAACTTGATAAATGCACAACTGGTTCATGGCACCAAGCCAGTTAAAATGAATCGCCTTGGCATGCATGCACACACACACACACAAAACTACGCGCCTGCTACACACTTGTATTACGCAACCACGTACACGGTCGCAAACTTAGCATAAGATGAAAGCCAGTTAGAAATAGTACTGCCAGTGTTCATTCCAGGATTACCACTATATCGGCGAGAAATTCCACTTTCCCACTCCTAACGCCGATAGAGGACACACTGGTAATCCCCTTTGCATTGTTTCGGCGACCTCCTTTGCAAGACATCGTCTGCTTGGTGTTTAGGTACCGAATCCCTTCCACGTGTCTATCGAAACCCGATGAGGGGTGACCAGGTGTTAATATTGAGGCGCAGGAGCACTTTCTTGGCGTATTTTGACATTATCGATTCTGTCGCCCAATGCTATTCCCCAGGTGGTTCCATGTTCTCTTCTGAGGTAAGGCGCTTGTGTTATTATGTGAAATTTTGGTATTATCGCGAGGTCCGCATTAGCATTTCGTGAAACGCAACTCAGTACCGTCATTCAAATCTGTTGTTAGGGTAAGTCTGAAAAGTAGGCAAATGCAAAAACTGCAGATAATCCCACCAAACTGATGGCTTAATTCTCTTTCGTTTGAACTCTGCCTTCGATACGGCTTACGCTAGTTCGCCATGCCCTCTCAACGTGATCATATCTGACTGAAGTTTACCATATATGGTGAGTTTTAATCTCCAGCGATGAGTAATCTTTCAATTCCTCTGAGGCTTCTAATCGTAATTGCTGATCCTTTGTATTCATGCATCTTACATCATTAGGAACCCACATGTCGGGTTTTTTAAACAAGTCCATGACACTTGATGTGATTTTCAACTTTAGTGTCTGACAAATTAAGCCTCTCTGAATTCACTCATGTAGTTATGTGCCTGTAAATCCCATTCATTTGTGGCTCTGAGTTTGGCATTAAAAACCTTCCTACGCGGAGCAGAATGATTGCATTTGGAGTTTCATCGCAAGAAAATAACATCTGCTTGGAAGTAGAGATCCACAAACTCTTCAATGAGCAGTATTGACTGCATTGACGATACAGGGTAGATACGATGCACCCAGCGCGAGAGGAATTCCGAAGTCGGTGGGAGCAAGTGGTTCACTTCGCCTTGAGAACGTATTGCTCTGTGTGCGACAAAGTATCAGCATGTATAGGAAAGTTACATTGGAGCTACGCTCAACTCAGAGAAACACCGATCAAGTGGTCACGCAGGTGTACCGACTGTCAGTGCCATTTGTCTGGTACAACTACCTAGGAACCGGGTTTTGAACTCGACACCTGTCAGGCCCTACTCAGTGGTGTTTTTAGGTCAAATGCACAGCTAATCGACGGCGACTCAGTGTACTTTGTGTCGTTTGACGGCCGCCAGGTACAACCGTTTTCACGCGGACTTCCATGCTTCCGGCTACAAGCTGTCTTCGCTGTGCTGTCTCGCATAAATCAAACGGTATGCGGTGCTGTGTAAGGGTGAAGTCTTTGGCAGTGAAAGGGGTCCTATTCAGGAGTGCGCACACCCCACGCGGAATCGAATCAGACGCACCGTTCCGCGGCCGACAATAAGTGCTGAGGTGCCATTGTTTATTAGTAGTTTGATGGCCACTCCACCACACACACACGCACATGCATACACACCCACCCCGCTCCGGAAGATACATCATCACTCATAGTCGGTTGTCACAAGAAGGCATGTATTCTACGACGCATCCGTATTAGTCAGTTACATTACTGGTGCCCAAGAAGCCGAACGCGGTATTTCAAACGCTCGGTGCTTCTGCACCCAACTTTTGGGGAGGCATCCGATTTCTTTCCACAATCGCTTTTCTATATTAAATGAACGCTAAAATTGGCGTTAATTTAAGTGTTCGTAGAGCCTTCGAATTACTAATGCCAACTAAATTACACGCATAATACCGAGTTAGAGACGGTGAAAATCTTTTAAATAGGCCCACATTTCCGTGTTTGGCAAATTAACGTTTGTGCTAAATCGTCGGCCTGACAGATGCTGTAGCTAATCCAGGTCGACAGCACTATCGATCGATCGCATGCATTCACGCATTAGCGTATCAGGCATCCAGGCTGTCGTATCGACCTTCCATACCATGAGTGCACAGCTAATGGCGCTGGCTTAACCTCTTTGGTTCTTCGTCGTTTACCAGCTTACACCGGCAAAAGCGATCAGTGCAACGCTACACGACGGAATGATGAGGTAGTTATAAAGTTCAGAGAAAGCACCGAAAATTTAAAGCTGATTTATCTACCCAAACAAAAGATTATTCACACGAATGCACATTTAGAGAACCCGCAAAACAGCTTTAGATAATAACATACAATTCAATGTAAGAGGATTAACATCTTAGACGAACACCTTAGGAGTTGCCGAAGGGAAATTTCGACAATAAATGCAACGATTACATGCAAAGGCACATCTTCATTCAACTCTGCGTTTTTGATCTAACAGCAAAAATAAACCCACACGAAGTTACCGTTATCGCACTGTGTTAATTAGACTAATGCACTAGTTAATCACACCGTGACACGCTGACAAACCGAAGAACTTAGCGCACGTCACAAGCACGTTTTCGCAGTTATTTTGACATTATCCGCACGAGTCTAGTTCAAAGCACTGCCTCCTAACAAGCGGATTTCGGCTTTAATGTATACCATTCCTTTCGACCACTATCACCATATTGACATGCATCACGCACACCAATAAATGTACCTTATGGTCCTCAGGTGATGTCAAAGTGACGGTAAGAAAGGCCAGAACAGAAGGCCATATATTCAACACGAAACAGTGAAGAGTACTTCCGTTCAGTCAAGTCGCGATTTCCGGTGTTAATTTGTGCCATGGTGCAGTCCACAACTGTGACGGCTTCATCGCGCGGTTCATGTAAACGCGCACTCCTGATAGGTGTGAAATATTGCCTCGTGTGTACTGGATAACGTTACTCTTTTTTTATCCGTGACGTCGAGCCTTCGACTACAACCGACTGACGCGTAAAACCTGTCATTGTGGAATCCATTGTAGTCAGTGGCAAAATCAATGTTGTGCAAGTGAACTGAAATCGCGCGCTCGTGAATGCGTTCTATTGATTTTTGTGGTGAGTTGTAATCACACGCATCATCATTGGGGCACAGCGGCTCGTGCAGCCGCATCGCATCAGTCAAGCTAATATGCTTCAAGTACACGGCGGGTGCTCCCTAATGCTGCTAAAGTCAACCAAGAAATCGTCGCAATGCATTTGTAATCGCTGACGTGACCACAAAGATGCTTCCTATGAGGCGGGCAGAAGACTGGAGATAAGATCAGACCACATGCAAATTCTCAAATTGACTCCAAACAGAGATAATGAAAATTGACACGTAAAAGGCCAATTCTTTCGCACCACCACCAGTTCTCCCATTCGTGACCACCTCTCGACTCCTAAGATCGCCGACCCTGTCTACTCGGACATTGCATGCGTGCACACACGTGTCATCGGATGAAATCTACGATCATTCGCATTTTTAAATGCCCACATTATCTTGGCGCTTCCTGGTGTATCACACGGAAATTTAGGTGTCTGACAGCTGTGTGTACTCTCTCGCCCCTTGCAACTCACACAGGTGGCTCATTGAAGTGCGTGCGTGCGTGCATGCACGCGTGTGGCTGACCGTCGTCGTGCCCGTCTGAACCATCATCCAAGAGGCCACGGATGCGAGGCTGACAGGCTGGTAGTTCAAGGTCAACCAGACAGAGCATTGTCGTTAAGCGTGCAGTCGCACTGGTGAGCGTCTCAAAATGGCTCTACTTACCACTGGTGATTAATCTCACAGCGTAATGTGCTTGCGATAATTGCAGCTGATACGTAATTTTAGCGACAACAGAGTCGTCGAATGTCTCAATTTCCGATTTCCACATTGGGTGCCACCAGGAGACACACTAGCGGCTTCTTTTCATGCTTTGTTCCTGAGTTCTTGTGACATGCAGGGTGACAGAATCGTTTTAAATGTGATGGTGTTTTCCAACGACGGAAGACATCAAAGCAGAACTAGCCAAACCTCAGAAGTTACGATGGTTTATCCTGTTGGACCCGTTGAACGCGTCGGCGTCAATACCTCATCAACCAACCTAGTCAAAGCTTCCATCACCATCATGGCACAAACACAGGCTACCATCGACGTCACCAACACAGAGCTTTCGCGTGGCCGGTACCAGACGTGTTCTCACACGCTCACATCGTACGCACTCATGCACGCATGCACGCACGCACAGCAGCCCCGTACTTGCAGAGCCATGAGGAGTGGGGGTGAGTCGATGTGCATTTGGTTAGGTGTCGGGGGAGGGGTGGAGGCCAGTGAATGTCCGACTCCATTGGTCTGAGCGTGGTTTCTCTGCTGGTGACTGCTACCAGGGGGTCGAGATCAAACAAGACGCCCGCGTACTTGGCACAGCACAAACGCTAATTCACCACGCGTTGTCGCCGCCGTTATTTTGTCTAGACAATCGGTGGCCCATTTAACGGATGTGCGGAGTTAATTTACGTGTTTGCGGCACACTGGTGTGTCATCATGATAACTCGTGTTATTATTAAAACGGTTCTGCTGTGTAGATGATTCTTCTCCATAGGTGATTTTTTATGTGCATGTGTGCACGCATATAGAATGCCCTGGGGACTGTACAGGTTGTAATTGAAACGTTTTTATGACCCCTAATGACCCATGGATATATAAATAACCACTTGAATTCCCAATGCAATTCCTCTTGACTGTATTTGTGCCATTTATAACTAGCCTGTTTTACCTGTTGATAGGGTATAGGCGGACTCTTTTTGTACTTCTACGCTCCTTTTGATTCACTCTTTTCGCTGATATTCACTTAATTTGCGTGATTCTAAGCCCAAATGATGTTCCAGTTGATTCGATTTTTCATCTACAAAAGACCCATCGTAACCAATTTCCTAGTTACTCTTTTTGGAGCTTGTGAAGCTAAGTCGTTTACCGAATTTTTCACGTCTGCCATTGGCTTGACAAACAGAACGAAGAAATCTTTCTCATCCCTTGTGTGAATGTGCGTGTGTCTTTATTCCATCGAAAATCCACAGAAATGAAATAAAGTTATTTTCCAACGCCAAGTATCCTCTCCTTCAACCACAGATGCTTTAACCAATTATACGTTAGATCTCTCATAATTTGGAAAAGAATTACAATGTAACAATAACGTGGAGACGATTTCCTACTCATGTGTTTATAACGAGAAGCATCAACAAATTTATTTCGCTTTCCACCCAATCAACCCAAACATGTATATGGCAGACCCGACCACAAAAATATTCGGACACCTGAGTGGTTGTCAGAGGCATATTTTAACGGTTTGATCGCTTATCCCGTGTGCATGCGTCACGATGTACTTTTAACTCCAACAGAGCTCATGTGCTGAGTATTTTGTCTAAATCAAGCTGGAAATTGAATGATTCAACGTCGGTGACCATCCGGACCACCCCCTGGGAGGTCATAACAACCGTTTCCTCGGTGGAAGTACGCTGCACCACCCGTTTCGATGAAACTGCCCACTTTCGGGAACCTCTTCAAATGAGGACATAATGGGAGGTTTGGCAGAGGATTTTCGCACACGTCCCTTCGAGACATAAATTACCGAGTTCCCCTTGACGTCATGTTCAACAACCGGATATCGGAGTGCATCGTGGAGTGTAATTGCATGTTCGCCGGACATGCATGCACGAACCGGTAATTGCACTGCCCACCAACAAACCATTAGCCGAACACACATGCCAACAGCTTTTGCCCACAGTCGTGTTTCCAGCCAACCAACTCTCCCCGGAGCGAAAGATGAGGCATTTGGCACCACTCTACGTCAGCAAATGCTTTTTTTTAATTTCTAACGCGGGGGTTTTTATCGAAAGATTGGAGACCCATGGGAGCGACGTTAAAGGCTTCGTTGGTGGATAAAGGAAGCTGTCACCAGTCCTAGCCATGATGACTCACGAGTGTCTGAAGCACAAAGTGACTAAGGTCAGTAGCTGATAGCCGTTTCCTATGGGGATGTGGAGTTGTTTTCAACGCAGCCAATTTGAAGAAATCACGACACAGCCCATAGGCTACGCAGGATTGAAGTAGATGCTGGGGCATAGACATGGCCCTCGTTTAAACGAGCCCACTGAAGCTTGAAATTAAGTTGCCCGTCATCCAGGCTGAAAGTAATGAGCCATTGTGATTTGTGTCTTGCCCCTACTTTTAGGAGGGAGGGATTTCCTTTATCGGTGCTATCAAAACATGTTCCCAAAGTTGCAAGTGGATGAAACTACATAGAGAGCATTAATAGTTAGCTTAGTCTAATGGTTTTCCATTAATTCTAAGCGGAATCGAGGTATATCTTCACCACAAAACTGAAAGTCGCTGTTTAAATCCACATTCTTCACTCAATACAAATGTCACCCATTTGCAGGTTTCTAGTAGCTGAGGTCAATCAGCAAAAGTTTCGTAATGATTTGTGCCGATTCACATCCGCCAACTCGGTTGTCGCATTTTCGCCTCATTTTCACGCCGTTCCCACAGGCCATGTGAAACCGTCTGTTCATAGACCTCTGCGTATGTGCCACTCCGACGCTAACGGCTTTATTCGTCTGGCCGCTCAACTAATTGTACTTTTGCACGTTCACACAGTCTGCATTGATCGACAGTTCCGCTCAATCAGACAGATTTTATGCGCAGTCTTGCGACGAACGCAGCTCGGCTGAGCTAGCTAGTAAACGGCGATGCCTCGCCATCTCTGGTCTTCTAGTGATCTTTCCGGGTATCTGAGTAGGACAAACGGACCAGCTCAACTCCATGGCACGGCGTGGTACATCAATTTATGACCCCGATGTAATGGCCCACAACAGTTTTGTGCAATCTTTTGGGAAGGAATCAAGGGACAGTAATGACGAAGGCATCTTTGCTAAGGTCTCTAACTTACGTAGGTGCTTTAGCTTGACGGAAATCGCGTAGCAAACCTGTCTGTACTAGCAATGACAAACAAACCATCATTGTCATCATTCCGACCAATGAGAAGCAGCTGTCAGTGGATTCCCTGATCTCTGGTCAGAGAAAGCCAGAAAGCAAGCCTAATTTTGCATAGCCAAGTCCAGGCCCATCAACGGGCAGTGGAACAGCTGATGCACAGCACACAATCAAAGTCGTTGGCTTCACCATGCCACACCCTCGGCGCGTGTGTACACATGCCTTTGGATAAGACCAGCAGGGGCCACCGAGTGATATATAAGGGTCGGGACATTGGTACTCTGAAAGGGTGGAGTGTGTCCTCCGTTGTGCGCGCGTACAATTTATGCGTCGTGCGTGCCTAAAATTGAACGAAGCATGGCATTTTGGGCTGGGCTTCGATGTTGCCGGTGGTCAAAGTACGCCCTGAAAGCGTGCAATTCTTGTTTCAAGTCCACGAACGGCATTTCTTAAGCCAAACACACACGTACACACGAGAAAAAAAGCATTGCTCTTTCCAGAATAAACTACTTCTCGTTTGAGCCTGGAAGATCACTATTGTGGCACCGCACGTAAGCATGTCAATGGTGACGATTGTAGTACACGCTAACCATTCGTACGCGAATTCATGGCACTATGGGGGGAAGAATAAAGAAACTAAGCTGCCAGAGTGAGGTCTTCAAAAAAGCCAATGGGATAGATTATTAAAATGACAGCGATCGGGGCCACAGTGAAAAACAGCGCTTGATTTGACTCCTGAATTTACGCCAACTACACTTTTAAGCATTCCTAAGTTAGATCAGACACCCCTAGAAAGACGCATTTTGGGACTAAACACTTTTTAATTGGCTGAGCTGCGGTTTTTGTTTTCACTACGGCCACAGGCACGTGATCTCACCAGGTTAGTGGTGGTTCAGTTTGGGTCAACGTTGTTTGGGCTGGTGCTGGAACAGTTCAGTTTTTTTTGTGTGTGCTGGCTTCGTTGTTGTCCTAAAGCCGTGCTTCCGTGTGCCGGAAAGCGGTAAAACACGCCTATTCAGTATATGCGGCATTTTAATTAATGTTACCCTTGTAAATTCATCGTGACCTTATGCCCTGAAACCACAGGTGCATGACTCATGCTGTGAACAAAAGTGTTAATATGCGGCATTCAGCACATGCTCTGCGCTAATAGCGGCTAATACAGCGGATTGAATGCGTTATTTTTAATTGTGACGAAAAACGATGTGAGGTGGCAGTTAGATAAATCGATTGCTTTTGTGTTCGCGGTGGGTTAGCTACCGCAAGCCCCTACTCCGTTATTGATTGCAAGTGCACCGCCGCACTGGAGTCTTCTGCCTTCAGTTGGTACTTTAGGAAACCAGACCATTTATTACACGGTGGCTGCGTTTTATGCCCATAGCACGGAGGCATGTACTGCTTCTCTGTGAATCCCAAAAAAACCATTTGTAGTGCAAACTCGCATAAACCTTTTCGAACAGGCGCAGGGGAGGCCGGACAGGGCTGCTTTTCTAGAGGCCTCCTTTATCATCTTTATGGTTACAAATGTTCCCACAATTAGGCGGTCCAGTGGATTGGAGTCGCAGATAGCCAGACCGCGGCGCAGCTTCGTGTAATAAAATGACGACTAGACAGACGACATCGGCGGATATTGTTGGGAGGCAACGCGGGGCGCACAAAAAAGGCCAGATCAAGCTTTAACCTCCCCGCAGGAATTCATTCGGAGGTTGTATGACAGACCTCTGGTAACGGCGTAGCACAATCAATCAAATTAACAACAAAAACTCCGTTGGCACTACGAAATTGGCCAATTAATCGGTCAGAAGGATTGTCGCAGTGAGAAATGGCCCTAAAAACCTTGTGAAAAAGCCGAAGGTGGAAATCTTCATCCAGCAAAAGTCAAACTTAGTTTTTTTTTTGTAAAATTCCGTCCCTAAAATGAACACCGTTGAGGCCAGAACGCATAGATTTGCAAAAAAAATGGAGTAATTTGCCAGCCGAGATAATTCACGACAAGTCATTATTAAGACAAATTTGGAAGAGCGATGCGTCAGCGCTAGTAATTCTGAAACGAAACAATGGTTTCATGCTAGCGAGGCTATTAACCTCCAACAAATTCGACAGTCACTGTCAAACGTTTGTTATACAACACTTTCTCTATTGAATCCAACTGATAGATAGATAGATAGTGAGGAAAGCCACGCAAACCATTGTAAATTAGATATTACATGCAAAATCCAATATATTTACAAGTAGGGGGCATGTATATACCTATTCACACCTTCTTGAACGTGCCGATGGATCTAAGAAAGGATGGAGGACGTGATGTCAGCGTGTGAACACTAGTCTAGACATGCGGACGAGACGTGCTCGGCCGTTAACGCT